AGCCTGGAATGGTGGGAGGTGTCCCTGGACACCTGGTGGGAATGGGATGATCCTGAAGGTCCCCCCAGCCCAGACCATTCCAGGATTCCATGAGAATGGTGAGCAGTTCCTTTGAAGGAGAGGACACATCCCCTCTGGATGTACAACATCCCAGAGAATTCCCTGCCAGCTCAGAGAAACCCAACTGCTTTTTGGAATTCCAGTCCCTCCACTTCCCACAGGGACAGGGATCAGCCCTGCCCTCCACAGTGCTCCTGAAGGGACAGCAAAAAGGAATTTTGTGTTATCCTGGAAGTAAAAATCCTCATATTTCTGTAAGGGGAGAGCTGATGGCAGCCGAGAGCTCAAGGGAATCACGTCCAGGTAGAATCCCAAAGAATTCCTGTCTGCAGGGTGACAAGGTTGGAATCACAGCCTCACCTGCAGCTCTCTGGTGCAAAATGCATCATCTGCTCTTCCAATCTCTCCCATAAAACAGACATTCCCTCTCTTTCCAGGGCTGTTTTCCTGGAGGATCTCCCAAACATGCTGCAACCAGGCACTGCACTGGGTTTTCAAGGGTCCTGCTGGGATCAGGCAGGCAGCCTGAGCTGTCTGGAATTCCACTTATCCAGAGGCTCCTCCACCTCTGCATCAGCTCTCGGGGGTGCAACTGCTCCAGTTTGGGGGGTTTGGAGTTAACAGTCTGCTCTGGAAAAACTGGGATCAGGATGGGAGGGAAGCCACCAGGGCTGTGACCTGTCGGTGCCATTGGGATTGTACACAAAGCAAATATTGTGCCCTCTCCACAGCTGGGAATTATTTCAGTTTGCCAGACCTGGGTTATATTTTAGGAGACTTTTCTAATTAGCCTTGGAGTCAGTCATGGAAAAATGGCATTGGAGTGGCTCAGATCCACAGGAGGAGCTGCAGCAGCAAGAGGAGCTCACACCAACTCTGCTCTCCAAGGATTTGGGGAGGCACGACCCTTCCCTGCTGCCACAGAGTGGCCAGGATTTCTGGAGGTGCCAGCCTGGCACTTGGATCATCCTCCCCCAGCTCCAGTGGCAGCCAGGAGCTGGGAAGGGATTGATTCCCTGTTAATTTGTAAGGAAGGAATAGGATGGATCCGTTTGCCCTGGTTTCTGCATTCCAGCAGCCTCTGATGTGTCCCCGGAGAGCGCTCGGAGCTCGGCCTGGAGCACGGACAGCACATCCCAGCAAACAGAGCTGCCCAGGCTGCTTTCATCCTGCAGGGATGAAACAATCCCAGAAACAATGCTCAGGAAGAGCACCAGCGCCAGGAGCTCCTTTTGTGCTGTTAAAAATCAGAGCAGGATCTGCAGCTCAGGGAAGGACGGCCCGAAGGCATGAGCCGGAATTCTCGGGGTTTTGCAGTGTTTAGTTGGGAGCTGTGAGGGGAAGAAGACTGGAAATCCACTAAAAATAAGGAGGAGAGCTTCTGAGAGAGGAATTCTGCCCCTTGGCTTGTCCACAGCTGGAGTTCAAAGCCTCAAACTCCATCAAATTAAAAGAAAAAGAAGGCTCAGAGCCTCTTTCCTGCTCTTTCCATGATTATTCCAGGCCTGGTGTTTCCCTGCCCTGCTGGAATCTCCATCACCTTTCCCATCACCACCAGGACTGGATGAGGAGGAGAGCACAGCTTCACCCCCCAGAACACAACTGGGATGGGGATCAGCTGGGGAGAGACTTGGCTTGGTTATTTTATGGCCACACCAACGCCCAGCCCCGTGACTCTCAAAGAAAGCAGGAATGTGGCTTTGCTAAGCAAAATTCCCATTTTTTTTTCCAAAGGAAAAGGACTAACCACAGACTGAGGTGTGGCTCCTCCCTCCTCTCCTCCCTGCAGTCCATCCACGTGTGAATGAATAAATGAATATTTAATTAAACATTTCGGAGAGGCTCCAAAGGGAGCTCTGAGGGAACATCAGCAGCAGTGCTGAAAGAGGCAGGGAGAGAAAAGAACTTCCCAAATCCATGAGCTGGAGCACTGGGCACATCAAGATCCAAATTCTGGGACAAAGGGGTGCTTGGAAGCTTTTTGGTTTAGAGATGGGACAGACAGAAAGTAGCAGGAGTGGAAAAAAGGGGGAATAAATTCACTGAAGAGGTGTGGGAGCATCAGGGTCCACCTGGAGGTTCCTCTGGGATGGACTTGGAATGTTTATCCAAGCTTTTATCAGGGAATCCTGGAATGGGCTGGGCTGGGAGGGATCTGAAGGATCATCCAGTGCCACCCCTGCCATGGCAGGGACACCTCCCACTGTCCCAGGTGATCCAGCCTGGCCTTGAGCACTGCCAGGGATCCAGGGGCAGCCACAGCTGCTCTGGGAATTCCATCCCAGCCAGGAATTCCCAATTCCCAATCTCCCATCCATCCCTGCCCTCTGGCAGTGGGAGCCATTCCCTGTGTCCTGTCCCTCCATCCTTGTCCCCAGTCCCTCTGCAGCTCTCCTGGAGCCCCTTCAGGCCCTGCCAGGGGCTCTGAGCTCTCCCTGGATCTTTCCCTTTTCCAGGGGAACATTCCCAGCTCTCCAGCCTGGCTCCAGCCCTGCAGCAGCTCCATGACCTTCACATTCCCTCCTTACTTCAGGGTAAGGATCACCCAAATTCTGTCCCTGCTGGGAACCCAGCCTGGATTTCCAGTGGGAAAACATTCCCAAGCCAGGGCAGGGACACTTTGTGCTGGCTGAGTTTGGGGTGCCTGAGTGACCCCAAAGCCACCCCCAACTTCCAGCTGGGAAAAACTCCTGCTCACAGCCCGAGCAGCAGTTCTGGAATGGGCAGGGAGGGCTTGGCTGCACCAACCCCTCCCCCTGGGCACTGCCAGAGGCAGGAGCAGCACAAGGTGGGACATTTTCACAGCGTGACTCAAGAGAAATGAATGAAATGCTTGGAATTCCAAGCTGTGGGTGCAGGAGGGAAAGCTGGAATGCTGAAACAACAGGGACAGAGGAGTGACAATGAGGCAGGTGCTGCTGGCATCTGTCTTGGGGGTTTGGGGAAGGAATTCTTCCCTGTGAGAGTGGGGAGGTGCTGGGATGGAATTCCCAGAGCAGCTGGGGCTGCCCCTGGATCCCTGGCAGTGCCCAAGGCCAGGCTGGATGGAGCTTGGAGCACCTGGGACAGTGGGAGGTGTCCCTGAACATCCAAGGATCCTGGAGGTCCCTTCCATCCCAAACTGGTCTGTATGGTTTTGATCTTTCCTAAAATGTTTTAAACCTCTGTAGGGATAGAGAGGATTTAAGCAGCTCTTTGCTCTGGAAAATCCACAGGAATGGACAACTATTCACAGGAATTTTAGAAACAATGGCGAGCAATTTATCCAAGACGACACCGGGATCCTAAACCCCCTGCTATTGTCCCCCAGAAACGTGGGGCTGCCCGGATCTGGTCACCTTTACCACCACACCCACACCCAGTTTAATCCTAAAACCTCCACGCGCTGCATCCCAAACCAGAATTCCCCCGGTTGCCACCAACACCACCCAGCAGAGGGAAGGAGGGAGAGGAGCCTCAGCCCCTCCTCCGCGGCCGTGGAATGCTCCCCACCCCACACCCCGGCGGGCTGAGTAGGCTGGCAGCACCTTCCCGGTTAATTAAAGCGCTGCGTTAATTGTGCAGTGACTCAGAGCTGCGTGTGCCTCCCAGCCCACCCGCTCCTGCGATCCTGAGGGATTCCAGCAGCTCCTGCAGTCCCGAGGGGCTCCAGCAGCTCCTGCAATCCCGAGGGGCTCCAGCAGCTCCTGCCTGGCACAGGGCACCCTGCCCGGCCAGGGCCGCGGTGCTGAGCCCTCACCACGCTCCTGGATGGGTTTCTTTGGATGTTCCTTTGGATGTTCCCGTCAGGGAATGGTTTCCTAGGGAAAGGGGGGTCCCTAAACCGGGATCCACAGCCCCTCTGAGACCCCGCAGGGCTGGGGAGCTCCAGGAGCCCCTGACACCCCACAAAGGGGGTTTGGGGGGAGGTCTCAGCTCTGCCTCTGCTGCCAAAGCCGTGGGGAGGGCAGAGCCCAGCTCCTGCCCCCTTTATCCCCCACCAGAGGGGTCTGGGGCAACCCCAGCTGCCTCCTTCCCTCTGGAAAAGAGCCTGGGGGGGCCCTCAGCCCCCTCTGTTAAGGGTTGGGGTCCCTCCTCGGGGGTCTGGGGGCTCCTCAAGTCCCCTCTCCAGGAGCTGAGGTCCCTCAGTCCCCAGGAATGAAGGGGGGGGGTCCCTCGGCTCCCCCTCCTGAGGCTGGGGACCCTCAGCCCCCCTCAAGGGCTGTGGGGGGGTCAAAGGCTGTGGGGGTCCCTCAAAGCCTTTGGGGTCCCTCAGCCCCCCTCAAGGGCTGTGGGGGGGTCAAAGGCTGTGGGGGTCCCTCAAAGCCTTTGGGGGTCCCTCAGCCCTCTCCTCAAAGGCTTTGGGGGTCTCTCAAAGGGTTTGGGATCTCTCAGCCTCTCTCAAAGCCTTTGGGGTCCCTCAGCCCCCCTCAAGGGTTGTGGGGGGGTCAAGGGCTGTGGGGGTCCCTCAAAGGCTGTGGGGACCCTCAGCCCTCCCCTCAAAGGTTGTGGGGGTCTCTCAGCCTCTCTCAAAGCCTTTGGGGTCCCTCAGCCCCCCTCACGGGGTGTGGGGGGGCCAAGGGCTGTGGGGGTCCCTCAAAGGCTGTGGGGACCCTCAGCCCCCCTCAAAGGCTGTGGGGACCCTCAGCCCTCCCCTCAAAGGTTGTGGGGGTCTCTCAGCCTCTCTCAAAGCCTTTGGGGTCCCTCAGCCCCCCTCAAAGCCTCTGGGGGTCCCTCAGCCCCCCCTCAAGGGAGCTCCCTCAGCCCCCCCTCCCCAAACCCGTGACTCCTCAGGGGTCGAGGTTCCCCCTCAGGGACCGGGGGGGACCCTCGAGCCCTCGCAGCCCCCTGAGGGGTCGGGGTCCCTCACTGCCACCAGGGTTCCCCCGCTGTCCCTCAGGCCCGAGCTGCCCCAGCCCCGCTCCGCAGCCCCCTCGCCCCCGCCGGGGGCCGGGCCGCACCTTGAGCGTCACATCGCAGAGCTTCCCCTGCCGCCGGATCTCGCCCATCACTCCGTAGCCGCGGCTGGGCAGGTCTCCCACCGAGAAATGCACCAGATCCTCGGCATCCAGCTCCGGCTCCGCCGCCGCCGCCGCTTCCAGCATCGTCCCGGCCACTCCCGTCCCGCTTCGCCCCCGCCGCGCGCTGGCCCCGCCCGGCCGCCGTACGCGGGGCCGCTTCCGGGAGAAGCCGGAAGCTGCCGTTGCCATAGAGAACCCGGAAGTGGACGCTGCCATGGCGACCCCCGACGCCACGCCGGACTCGACTGCAGAGGGGTCGCAGGTGGGACAGGGCCGAGGGGGTGCCCGGGGGGTCGCCCTCCCCTCCTCAGGGGGTGATGGGGGGTCGGATCCACGCGCAGGCGGCATCAGCCCCCCGGGCATGGCCCCCCTTGCCCCGGGCATGGCCCCCCGCACGCTTCAGGGGACGCGCTGGAGGGAAACACGGCGTGACGCGGTTGGGAGGCAGCTTAAGGAGCATCCAGTCCTCCCTCTGCCATGGCAGGGACACGTTCCACCCGCCCAGGGCGCTCCCAGCCCCTGCCCCGGGGCTCCAGGGGCAGCCGGAGCTGCTCCGGGCAAACCCCAGCTGATGAGTGAATCCCTTCCAGAGGGATTTTCCCCAAAGTCCTGCCAAAATCTGAGCTGCGGGAAGGGAATCCTCCCGCTGGCAAGGCTCTGGAGGCGTGTGGGTGATGCCCTGTGTTTTTCCCGGCAGGAGGAAGAGGAGCAGGAGAGCTCGGAGGGGCAGGACAAGAGTGAGAGTTCTGCGTCCAAAGCAGAGAGCGAGCAAGGGGTAAAATTCCAGCGGGCCCTGCCCGGATCCTGGCTCCAACCCACCCCCCACCTCCCACTGCCCCGGGCTGCCCCAAGGCTGTGAAAAATGCCAATCACTTGGTTTGAAGTGTGAAAAGTTTCATAGGAATACAATTAATGAGAATTTGGGCAGTCAGAGTCAGCACAATAAAAACAAAGACAAACGGACAGTCCGGGTGCCTTGCTGAGCAAATGAAGCCCCAAAAGGACCTCCACTAACAAGGGATCAACCCTTAAAACCACAGCCCATAGATCTCATACAGGATGCAAAAATTCTTTTCAACAAAGAGTTTCTCTGGTTATTTCCAACTCCCCCCCTTCATCTTGTTGGCTCTTTCATGTCTGGGAGGAGGCAGAAGAAGCTTGTGCCTTTCCTGATAAGCAGGCAATCATTATTTTATTTGGGATTTTGGAGTTTTGTTGCTGTTATCTCTGCAAAGAATTTCTGGATTATCTCACCCTTTTCTTGAGCCAGTTAAAATGTACCTTACATCTCATCGTTTCAATTTTAACTTTATGTTATAACCTAAATTTATATTTACCACACAACTTAAAAGAATTAACACACCATAACACATGCAGTGTTCCTCTCAATGCCTGCAAGGAGCCATCTAACTTCACAAATCCCCAGTGCCCAGCCTGGCCTGGGGCACTGCCAGGCATCCAGGGGCAGCCCCAGCTGCTCTGGGAATCCCCTCCCCTCTCCTGGTGCTCACCCAGCAGTGATTGCTGTACCCAAAGGCACAACAAGGGAAATGTCCTTTATTTACAATTCGTTCTCTCTCTGATTCTTAGTGAAGTTCTTCCCAAGGAAATTTTCCCTTCCTCCTTTCCCTGCTGCTTTTCTTTCTTTGGAGAAATAATTCCCAGCTGCTCCAACACTGGATTTTGGGTTTGTTTTTGTTTTTGGACAGGTTTCTGTGGCCTCTGTGAGATTCCAGGAGCAGGAGCAGGAGCATGGCCAGGAGCCAGAGCAAGAGCAGGGGAAGGGGAAGGAGAAGAAGGAGGAGGACCAGGAGAGCATCATCTCCTCACTGCTCTGTTCCACAGAGCCCGAGGGTGAAAGGCCCAGGTAGCCCCAAATGTTCCCCTGTGGACTGGTTTAGATTCGTTAATTTAAGGTTTTTTTTTTTTTTAATTAAAAAAAATTTAAATGGATATGTTGATGAGTGTGGTGGTTAATTGGTTAATTAGTTAATTACTAGTGTATTTATTTTTTCTTGTGAGGTAGGATTAGGAGAAAGGTGAAGTAGGTTTAAATTTTTTAAAAGGGTTTAAAGAAAATTTTATTAATAGTGGTTAAAAGGAAAAAAAGTAGTGAGAATTAAAATAAACCTTTCAGAATACTTCTCTCCCTTCTCCCCCACATTTTTTTTCTGATAATATAAAGAAATTATACCTAAAATTTTCATTTAGTTTATTATTTTTAGAACAGTTTTTTGTTTTAGTTTATTTAGGGAAAGAAGTGGCTTTTGTTAAGGTTATGGAGATTTTTTTACAAGTAGAAAAAACCAGTTTTTTTGTGTTTTTTAATTTTGTTGTGAATAACAGCTGCCCAGGGAACTTTGTTCCTGACACCCTGGCTCAGCTCCAACCCCCACAACTCATTTTACAGCAGGTAAACTGTGAGAGGTCCCAAAAATCCTGGATGTACCAGAAATCCCAAAGATTTTGTCCCAAACCAGAAGCTGTCACTGCTTATTGCACAACCATTGAGCACGGGCTGTCTGCAGGAAGTGTTTGAGGGCAAACCTGGGATTTAAAAACCCTCTGAGCACGGGGCTTCAGCAGCTGGATGATCCCTGAGCCCTCCTCGTGGGGGTTTCACTCAGCACATCCTCCAGCCTGTGGATATTTCCTCCAGCACACTGAAAATCAGCTGTTCACTGGGAATCGAAATTATTTTTAAAATAAAAGTGACAAAAGAAAATCCCTCTCCCATTCCTGTGAATATTTTGCTTCCTAAGGCTAAGATAGGAAGAAAACTGGTGTTCTCCAGCACTCCTGAGCCTGGTGCACAGGAGGAAATCAGAAAATCAGTTTGGCTCTTCTTTCACACCCTCAGATTTCCAACAGGACAAAGCTGGAAGGAACTTTGAGCTTTTAATGGGGAATAAAACCTGCAGCTGAATAATCGCCAACACTTTGCTTGGAATTTTGACTCCTCTGCCTCAGCTTTTGCTGAGAAATAATATAAATTTCAGTTTAGGGGTGCAAGGTGGTTCTTTCCCTTGTTTTTGCCCCTCTCCTCAGAACACCAAGGCGGGTGCTGGCGTTCGTGCGGATCAGGCCAACTCCTCACTTTGCCCAAGACGTGATCAGGCTCGGGGCAGACAACAAGGTACAGCCAAAGAAACTGGAGTGGGAAGGGCTTGGAGTTTGGCTTCAGCTTTTCCAAGGGAAAACCAGGATTTTTCCATCCCCTGAGGCCATGGGTAATGTTTTGGGGGTGTTGGTTGGTGTGTTCGTGCTTGGCTGTGGTTTTGTCAAGGATGGAAAACACAATTCCCGTGGTACAGTCACCAGGAAAATCCTCCAAAGGACTGGGGCTGGCTGATCCATGAGGATTTCCCAGTGCTAACCACAAATTGGCACAGTCTATTTCCATCCCCTCTTATGCAAATTCCTCCCTTTGCTTCCTCTGCTTAATTAATTTCCCTGAGGCACAAAATCACTGAAAGTTAAACAGATGAGCTTAACCACATTTCCTCTTATTTAGAATATTTGTCACCAGAAATTTGAGAGCATTACCAGATACTTTTAGGACATCTAGAACCATCCAAGGCAGTAAAATAACTCTGTTATTCCTGCTGCCTTTTCTGCTTAACCCCAGGTCCTGAACTGCTGAAAACCCTCGGGGCTGTTGAGTTGATCTCCCTCTCTTTTTGCCTTGCAGAGCATTGATATCTACATCCAGAAGAGTCCCAGGGGAGGAATTGTGAATAACTCCCAGACTGACTGGTCCTTCAAGGTGGATGGGCTCCTCCACAACACTTCCCAGGAAGTGGTTTATGAGACTGTGGCAAAGGACTTGGTGTGCAAAGCCTTGCAGGGCTACAACGGTGATTTATTGCAATTCTTATTCTTTGATCACAACCAGAGGTTGGGTTTGAGCAGAGAGCCATTTGCTGTTCTGTTGGAGGCTCCCTCCTGAGTTTATCCTTTTGCTTTGGGGTTTTTTTTAGGCACCATCATGTGCTATGGGCAAACTGGAGCTGGCAAAACCTACACCATGACAGGAGCAGCCTCTGAGTACAGGAACAGAGGGATCATCCCCAGAGCTATCCAGCAGGTACTGACTGCAGCTGGCTGGGGACACAGGAGGGAGAAACACCAAGCAACACTCTTCTATCACCTCTTGCTGGTAGAAAAGTGTTTGAACACAGTGAATAAGTTTCATGTGGTTTTTTTCCCCCTTCATTTTACCCCAGGGATGATGGTTAAAGAATAAAGGAGTTTTATTGTCATTTTCAGAGGTTGTTCCCCTTTAGTTCCTGTTTGAGTTCTTGCTGCTCCCCAAATGTCACTGAGCCTTCAAAAGAGGTGTTTTCCAAACTGCCATTGTGTTAAATCAGGTTAAAACTTACCATAAATCCATTAAAAAACATTTCTAAGGCACAGAGACACTGGCACAGGTGCCCAGAGCAGCTGTGGCAGCCCCTGGATCCCTGGCAGTGCCCAAGGCCAGGCTGGACAGGGCTGGGAGCAGCCTGGGACACTGGAAGGTCCCTGCCCATGGCAGGGGTGGGATGGGATGGGCTTTAAGGTCCCTTCCAGCCCAAACCATTCCACCCAAACTGCCATTGTGCTAAATCAGGTTAAAACTTACCATAAAACCATTAAAAAACATCTCTAAGGCACAGAGACACTGGCACAGGTGCCCAGGGAAGCTGTGGCAGCCCCTGGATCCCTGGCAGTGCCCAAGGCCAGGCTGGACAGGGCTGGGAGCAGCCTGGGACACTGGAAGGTGTCCCTGCCCATGGCAGGGGTGGGATGGGATGGGCTTTAAGGTCCCTTCCAGCCCAAACCATTCCAGAATTCCATGCTTCTGTAAGATCATTAATTCCAAATCCAAGCTGAGCACTCAGAGCTCAGATTTAGCCCCACACACCCCTAGATGCACTTGGAGCTGTTCAGAACTATTTCTCTATCAATATCTATCTCTGTATTACAGAAATTGATGTCTTGTGTACACCTCAATGTGTTTATTTATATTTGTTATCTAGTTATATTTTATACCCTTCTGATTTCACATTCTCAGATTTCCAAGCAGGACAAGGCCAGAAGGAGTTTTCACAACTCTTTACCCAAAGTTGCTTTTAATAGGAAATATATATTTTTGTATATTCTCTGTTTATGTCTTACATCTACTTATACCACACCCAATTATATCTTATACCAACATCTACCCAAATATCTTCTCTGTTTACATCTTACATCTACTCATACCACACCCATTTATATTACACCAACATCTGCCCAAATATCTTCACTGAAAAGCCACAAACAACTAAAAACCTCCCTGTGAATGGACACAAACCCTTTGTCTTGGCGCAGATCTTCAAATCAGCCACAGAATTCCTCAATATCCTGGTGACTGTCCGAATTTCCTACCTGGAGATCTACAAGGAGGCCTTGTTCGACCTCCTGGCGCCGGCGCTGGGCCGAGGGTCCAAGGACAACCAGCTGGCTGTCATGGATGGTCCCCAGGGCATTTATGTCAAGGGGCTCTCCATCCACCCTGTCAGCCACGAGGAGGAGGCTCTGCAGCTCCTTTTTGAGGCAAGAGAACCCAAATATTCCCTTCAGTCCCGTGGTTGTGGGCGCTGGCTGAAGGAGGAGGTGGAAAAGCAGGAGTGGGGGGCCAAGATGGTGGAATGAGGTTCAGCCGTTGAACCCTTCTTGGTTGTGGGGAGAAAAACTGACAAACTCTTGGTCTTGCAAGGGAAATATCTCTGGCTGAGGGATTCTGGAAGATGCTGCAAGAAAAGATGGTTTGGGGTGATCGTGGCACTGTTGGAATTGACAGCAGGGTTGTTCAGGGTGAGAGGTTTGTGAGGGGGCTTTGATTGCTGAGCTCAGCATCTTTTCCTCATGGATGCTTCAGTTGGTGAGGAAAGCAGGGATGAATAACTGGATCTGACTGCAGGAGGTGAATCCTCACCCAGAGCCTTCTGCTGTCCTTAAAATCTTTCTCTGTCCTTTTTAATAACCCAGCGGTGTCCTGAGCTCTGGAATGTGCAGGAGCTGCCTCTTCCTTTTTGAAGAGCAGAAGGAGGATGATGATGGCTGGGAATGCTCACCTGGAGAGGAGAAGGCTCCAGGAGAGCTGGAGAGGGACTGGGGACAAGGATGGAGGGACAGGACACAGGGAATGGCTCCCACTGCCAGAGGGCAGGGATGGATGGGAGATTGGGAATTAGGAATTCCTGACTGTGAGGGTGGGGAGGGGGTGGGATGGAATTCCCAGAGCAGCTGTGGCTGCCCCTGGATCCCTGGCAGTGCCCAGGCCAGGCTGGACAGGGCTTGGAGCACCTGGGACAGTGGGAGGTGTCCCTGCCATGGCAGGGGGTTGGATAGGATGGACTTTAAGGCTCCTTCCAACATCCCTTTGTGTTCCTGGCAGATGTTCAGATCCCTCTGCCCATCACACCTCTGGGAATTTTCAGTGCCATTTGAAGCTTGGGGGGCTCTTTGCTCTTTTCCAGCCATCAGGAAATGGAAAGAGCCACACAGATGTTGCCTGGTTTATCCTCAAAAAGCCACAATTCCATGAGCTGAGCCTGGAATTTTCTCTCCATTGGTAGGGTGAGACCAACAGAGTGATAGGAGAGCACAGCCTGAATAAGAATTCCTCCAGATCCCACTGCATCTTCACCGTGTACATTGAGGTGAGAGCTCCAGCCTTGCTCCTATGGATTGGCACAACTTTCTAGGGATCCAAGGGGATCTTTGTTTTTTCCTGTATTTCAGTTTTGTCTGCCCCCTAAGTGCAGTTTCTCTTCCTCTCTCCCTCAGTGTCGTTCCAGAGATTACACAAATCACAAATGCCTTAAATCTAAAATCACCTTAATTGACCTGGCAGGGTCTGAGAGGCTGAGCAAGACTGGGGTGAGTGCTGGGAGCTCCTCGGGTTCCTTGGGGTCCCTTTGGAAAAACAGGGAAGGGAGCAGAGCTGGGGAGGGTCTGGAGCCCCAGGAGGGCTGAGGGAGCTGGGAAGGGGCTCAGCCTGGAGAAAAGGGGGCTCAGGGGGGACCTTGTGGCTCTGCACAGCTCCTGCCAGGAGGGGACAGCCAGGGAGGGTTGGGCTCTGCTCCAGGGAACAGGGAGAGGAGGAAATGGCTTCAGGGAGAAGTTCAGGTTGGAAATTGGGAATGTTCCTCCTGGAAAAGTCTGTCCAGCCCTGGCAGAGCTGCACAGGGCAGTGGACAGTCTTTTGACTCACCCACATCCTCAAGGACTCGCTAGGTAAGAGCTGGCACTCCCCACAGCTCCTGCAAAACTGGTGTTGCAATGGCCATGGCAAGTCCTAAGGTCACCATTTATCAGGGGATCCTGGAATGGTTTGGGCTGGAAGGGACCTTAAACAGTCCCCATTGCTGGAGGGATTTAAATCCTTGTGGATGTGGCACTTGGGGACATGGTCAGGGGTGGCCTTGGCAGTGCTGGGAATGGTTGGGCCGATCTAAGAGGCCTTTTCCAACCTCATAATTCCCTGATTCCGTGGCGTTCTGCATTGATCAGAATCAAAACAACAGAGCTGTGCCCTGCTGAGGAGCCCTCCCTTCCATGTGTGTGACCAGAGCTTCTCCTCTTGCTCTCCACTGCAGTCTGACGGCCAGGTGAGGCTGGAGGCCTCCTACATCAACAAATCCCTGTCCTTCCTGGAGCAGCTGGTCATCGCCCTGGCCGATCCCAGGAGGGAGCACATCCCCTTCAGGCAGAGCAAACTCACCCACGTCCTCAAGGACTCGCTGGGTAAGAGCTCACAGCTCCTGCAAAACCGGTGTTGCAATGGCCGTGGCAAGTCCTGAGAGCATCATTCATCAGGGAATCCTGGAATGCTTTGGGCTGGAAGCAACCTTAAGGATCATCCATTCCTCCCCTGGCATGGCAGGGACATCTCCCACTGTCCCAGGCTGCTCCAAGTGTCCAGCCTTGGACATTTCCAGGGATCCAGGGGCAGCCACAGCTGCTCTGAGCATCCTGAGGAACAGAATTTTTACCAACACAGGAACTCAGAGTTCTTATTCCCATTCTCTTCCTGCATCCTCATCCCGAATTTCACCTTTTTAGTCGCTCTGTGCCTCTCTTTCTGTGCCCTGTGGAGGGACTGTTACACCCTGGTGTGTCCTTTGTGCTTCTTTAAACTGAAAGGAGCCTGAGGTGGGATCTTGGGCAGGAATTCCTGGCTGGGATGGAGTTCCCAGAGCAGCTGTGGGTGTTCCCAAGGTTGGACAGGGCTGGGAGCAGCCTGGCACAGTGGGAGGTGTCCCTGCCATGGCAGGGGTGGCACTGGCTGATCACTAAATCCCTTCCACCCCAAACATTCTGGGATTCTGTTGGCGCCCTGGCTACTGAAAATTTTAGACTTTCTGTGTTAACCCCCAAGCAAACACTACATTTAACCTAAAACCATAGAAAAAACTCCCAAAATTAAATAATAAAATGAAAATAATATGTACATAATTTAAACAAAGTGTGTAATATCACATAGTAGAAAAAAGTTTTAAAATATAGTAATATGTATAAAACAAGATAGAAGTTTTAAGACAGAAGCTAATCCTTCTTCTTTACCTTCTTCACCTTCTTCTTCATAAGTTTAAATAATATTATGTAATTAAATAAAAAAATCCACATTACGAGTCACAAGCAATTAGTTATTTATTATCATATTATATTTTTTACATTATATTTTATATATATATATATCCTTCAAAAAACCCGCCAAAAATCTTCTAAAAATGCGCCAAAATATTAAAAAAACCTGGGAAAATATTCAAAAAACCTTCTACAAACCCGGGAAAATATACAAAACACCCGGGAAAATATTCAAAAAACCGTCTAAAAACCCAGGAAAATAGACAAAAAACCCGGCATAATATTAAAATATTATATTACATTACATTATATTACAAAATTATATTACATTATATTATATATTACATTATATTACATATTATGTAATTAAATAAAAAAATCCACATTACGAGTCACAAGCAATTAGTTATTAAGTTTAAATAATTTAAGTATCATTTCTTAATTAAACGATTTATCTTTTAAAAAGCTTGTAAATAAAAATACAACTCCATTTTTTACCTCTCCTCTATTTCAATTAGCACATAATAAAATACACTGCAGGAAAGGAAACAACAACAAAAAATCACCCAAAATGCTATTATTTGCTTTATTTTTAATATGATTTTTTTCTCAGGTGGAAGCTGCAACACTGTCCTGGTGACAAACATCTATGGGGAAGCTGAGCACTTGGAAGAGACCGTGAGTTGGAATTCCTAATTCATCCCAAACTTTGGAGAGCTCACCTTGTCCCAAAGGCTCAGATCCAGACTCCTGTCAGATGAGAGCCTGAGGCAGAGCAGGAGGAGCTGCTCAGATTTCACTGGAGAGATAGTAATAATAATAATAATAATAATAATAATAATAATAATAATAATAATAATAATAATAATAATAATCCAAAATTATATTATATTACATTACATTACATTACATTACATTACACTACATTACACTACATTACACTATATTACATTATATTACATTATATTATATTGGAACATTATAGTATATAATTATACATTAGTAATAATGTATCAATAATAATAATAAAGACAGAAATAATAATTTTCATTAATATAAGTATTAACATAATCTTAAATAATTGTCAATAATACAAAATTTACTATTACTATTACTATTACTATTACTATTAGATTTATCTTTTAAAAAGCTTGTAAATAAAAATACAACTCCATTTTTTACCTCTCCTCTATTTCAATTAGCACATAATAAAATACACTGCAGGAAAGGAAACAACAACAAAAAATCACCCAAAATGCTATTATTTGCTTTATTTTTAATATGATTTTTTTCTCAGGTGGAAGCTGCAACACTGTCCTGGTGACAAACATCTATGGGGAAGCTGAGCACTTGGAAGAGACCGTGAGTTGGGACTATTACTATTACTATTGCTATTATTAATAACTAATAATTAATAATATATGTATAGTAATATATGGATAATATAATGTAATTATATAATTTAATATGATTTTATTGTATTATTATCATCATTAGAATTATAATTAATTAATTAATTAATTAATTAATTAATTAATTAAATGTGTTTCGAGCTCACCTTGTCCCAAAGGCTCAGATCCAGACTCCTGTCAGATGAGAGCCTGAGGCAGAGCAGGAGGAGCTGCTCAGATTTCACTGGAGAGATAGTAATAATAATAATAATAATAATAATAATAATAATAATAATAATAATATATTGTATTATTATCATCCTTATAATTATAATTAATTAATTAATTAATTAAATGTGTTTCCATGGACCCCCTGGAAGTTCCCAGCAGAGCTGAGCTGGCTCCCTGCTGCAGCAGGAATGGGGAGGAACCTCCCAGGGGTTTTTTTTTTTAACCTGTAAATGCTCAAATGGGTGAAAATGCCCCTGTGTGAGCTGGGTCCATAGCAAACAGCAAGAAATCACCTGGGACAACTCACAGATTTTATATCTCTCTATAATTCTGATAGAATTAAGTGGAAAGATTAGGAAAATGATGTTTCTGCCAAGACCTCCTTTACCTTCAGCCTTTGTTTTCCAGCTGTCCTCCCTTCGCTTTGCCACCAGGATGAACTGGGTGACAGCAGAGCCTGTCCCCAACGAGCCCTTCTACAGGGAGGTAGGGACAGCAGGGACCTGGGGAAGGGGAATGTGATCATTTTGTCATTCATATTTAGGACAACAACCTGAAAAACCTGAGGAAAATCAGGTAGTTTCACAAATAACCCTTCCTCAGCCAAGCTGACAGTGCTGCTTTTGGGTGGGTGATAGAATGGATCAAAGTTAAACCTTTTTATAGTTTTTAATTACAGCTCCCTGGTCCAAGGCACAGCCATGCAGGTGGTCACATCTTCCTGGGAATTCTTTCTCCTGCATATCCCACATTTTTCTGATGAGATTCAGCTCTCAACAGAGAGATTTTATGGTGAATTATTCCCCTGACATGCAGGGAAATCATCTCCACTCCTCCTGCAGCTTTATCCCTGTTGCTGCTGGTAACAGAACAGCTTCTCCACAATTAGAAAACTTGGGTAATTAAGGAAATAATTTAAAGCAAGGGATCACAGGATATTAGAGTGCACTTTCAGAGTGAAAATTGGAGCTGAAATAGGAAGGAAACTTTGTGGTTTGGTGCTCCAGAAGTCACTGCAAAGCAGCACAGTGCCCACTTCTCCCTGAATCCCAAGATTTTTGTGCTCACCTTTCTGGAAACACATTTCAAAAAGTGAATCCTTGAAGATATTCCATGTTAGGGAGAAATTCAGTCAAATCCAGCACAGGAAAATCTCTCCTTTGTCCCAGTTACTGCCAGAGCTGCTGAGTAGGGGCAGAGGTGAGCCCTGCACAATGCTTGGCTTCCAGGATAATATCCCAGATCCTGGGATTTGATGGTCCCTGCAATTCCAGACCAGGAAATGATGCCATGAAAAAGCAGTGATGGCTTGGGCAGGCTCTGCAGGCAGGACCCAGCAGAAACTGTCCTGTAGGGACCTAATGAAAGGGAAATCAAACTGATTTCCAGACCCACTGATTCCCTGGGGGAGCTGGGATCCAGCTGGGATATTCTCCAGCAGCCAATTTTGTGCTGCTTTTAGCAGGTTTTGTTTTTCCCCCAATATGATTCAGTGGTTTGCTCACCCTTTTTTCCCCTGCTAGGCATCAGTGAAGGCTCTGGAGGAGGAGATCCAGCTCCTGAAGCAAGAGCTGACCATGCAGGACCACTTGGTGAGGAGCACTGAACTCATTGTCCAGTGGGCTTGTGTCCTTCCCTCTGCTCCCAGCACCATCCTCTGGGGCTTGGGGAAACCCCTGAAGATCCCACACAGAGGGTTGGGGTTGGAATTTCAATCCCCAGCCACTGGAGATGGGGTTTGGGTTTTTTCCAGACTCTTGAAGCTCTTCTGTTGGTTGGTTGCTCCCAAATCCCATCTCCTGCCCAGTCAGGTGATGAGAGTCCCAAGCAGAAATGGGCACAGCAATTCCAGGTGTTTGCCAGAGCAGTGGAATCACAGAATTCCAGAATGGTTTGGGTTGGAAGGGACCTAAAAGCCAACCCAGTGCCACCCCTGCCATGGCAGGGACACCTCCCACTGTCCCAGGCTGCTCCCAGCCCTGTCCAGCCTGGCCTTGGGCACTGCCAGGGATCCAGGGGCAGCCACAACTGCTCTGGGCACCTGTGCCAGGGCCTGCCCACCCTCCCAGGGAACAATTCCTTCCTTAAATCCATCCTGATTTTAGTTTAAAACCCTCACTCCTTGTGCCACCACGACAGCACCTGCCCAAAGCTTTGTCCCTGTTGTTCTCACGGGCTCCCTCAGCTGTTTGTAACTCCTGATTTTCAGTTTTCCAATCTTTTGGGGTTTTTTAGGCAAATAATTCCTTGATGACTTACAGCCCCCTGACTACAGCCCAGAGAGCAGAAATCAGATCCCAAGTCCAGAAATACCTCAGAGGAGTCATTGAGGAAATCGATGTAAGTAGTGAGAAAAAGAGCTTAAATCCTGATTCCATCCTCTTGTCTCCAAGAGAGGAGCAGTGACAATGTCTTTTAAAGAGGCTGTTTTTCACCCCAAAGCCACTACAGAATTGTAATTTAATTTCTTTTTGCTTTGCTAAGTCTGTAGCATGTTTTCATTCCATTTTTGCTGATTTGGAGGCTCTGAAAGTATTTTCCTTAATCTTAAAACCCTTTAAACTGATTTTTTTTAACTCCTTTGTATAATTAATACCAAAATTTATGGCTTTGTACCTCTCTTCCTCAGATTGTGAATGTCAGACAGATCCAGGAGGTTTTTAGACAGTTCAAAGTGATTTTAAGGTAAGTCCAGAAATCCTGGAGTGGTTTGGGTTGGGAAGAACTTTAAGGACCATCCCATTCCAAGGGCAGGGACACCTCCCACTATCCCAGGCTGCTCCAAGCCCTGGATTAAAGGTTCAAACAAGGGGATGGGACTGAGCAGAGTTAGCATGGTTTGATGTGGACCATTAAATGTCCTGAAAAGTATTAAAATAACCATCAAAAAGCTTTAATGTTAAAGAGCCCTAAAGGAATGTCATGGAAAAGGAGAGGGAGAACGTGGAGAAGGGTTATTATGGGAAGCCTGGGAGGGCTGTTGAGGGATAAAACCACGGGTAAAAGGGGGTTTTCTTTGGGCACTGCCTTTGGCAGGGATCACAGATGGGAAAGGGCTCCTAAAGGGCTGTTTTTTCCTTAGCCAACAGGCAGAAGAGGTGGAGAGCAGGTTCTGGAACAAGTACGGGCTGGGACGCATGGTTGGGTCTGACTCTGAGTCTAGCTCAGACTCTGATCTGCGTTTGGAGGAGGCTGAGGAGCAGCAGGAGGAGGAGGAGGAGGAGCAGGAGGGCACGGTAATGCCTGGGGCTTGGCCTGGCCCAGGATCCACCTGGGAGCTGGCTCCTTTGTGCCAGAATGGGAATGGTATAAAGAGGATTTTTCCCTGTTAAAATCAAACTCGGAAATGTCACTGGGGGTGAGTTTGTAAAAAAATGTGTCCAGAGCAGAGATGTACCATTAACAAAGAGGAATTCCTGGCAGCAGGGGGATTAATTTGACCCTTTATCTGCATAGAATAATTAAGGAAGTTGGAATTAGAATCCCAGATAGGTTTGGGTTGGAAGGAACATTGAAGATCATCCTATTCCATGGGCAGGGACACTTCCCACTATCTCAGGTTGCTCCAAACCAAACCCAGCCTGGCCTTGAGCACTTCCAGGGACTCAGGGGCAGCCACAGCTGCTCTGGGAATTCCATTCCAGGGTCTCCCTACCCTCCCAGCCAGGAATTGCTTCCCAATATCCCATATAAACAGTGCCCCTTTCAGTTTAAAGCCCCCTCAATGTCCTGTACAATGCAATTACCAAAGGGATCTGTGTCACTGGGTTGAAGAAGGTGAGGCCCTGCCTCTGCTGAAATCCCTTTTTAATCCTTATAATGTCTGGAGCCAAGTGTATAAATCCCACCTAATCCATAAATCCTCCTGTGGGCTCTCACACAGTTTTTCATTCCCACATTAAGCTGTTCCAGGGGATGGAAGAACTGCTGGGTGAGGCCTGGACAGCTTCCATGGTGTCCACAAATGGGATATTCCTCTGTGTTTCCATGTTTCCTTTCTGTGCTTCCTGGTGTCCACAAATGGGATATTCTTCTGTGTTTCCATATTTCCTTTCTGTGCTTCCATGGTGTCCACAAATGGGATATTCCTCTGTGTTTCCATGTTTCCTTTCTGTGCTTCCAGGGTGGGATATTCCTCTGTGTTTCCATGTTTCCTTTCTGTGCTTCCTGGTATCCACAAATGGGATATTCCTTTGTGTTTCCATGTTTCCTTTCTGTGCTTCCAGGGTGGGATATTCCTTTCTGGTTCCATGTTTCCTTTCTGTGCTTCCATGGTGTCCACAAATGGGATATTCCTCTGTGTTTCCATATTTCCTTTCTGTGCTTCCTGGTGTCCAGAAATGAGATATTCCTTTGTGTTTCCATGTTTCCTTTCTGTGCTTCCAGGATGGGATATTCCTCTGTGTTTCTATGTTTCCTTTCTGTGGTTCCTGGTATCCACAAATGGGATATTCCTCTGTGTTTCCATGTTTCCTTTCTGTGCCTCCAGGATGTGCACCAATGGAATATTCCTTTCTTTTCCAGGAAAGTACAGTTGACCAGGATGAGGATTCGGATCAGGAGGATGATGCAGGGACTATTGAGATTGGAAGTCCTCCCACATCCCCCATTGCTGATGGGGAGAAGGAAGCTGATGAGTGAGTCAAGCAGTCACATGCCTCTCCTTCACCTCTGATAATCATGGAATCGTGGAATTGTCAAGATTGGAAAAGCCCTCCCAGATCATTGAGTCCAACCCACCCCTCACCATGTCCCCAAGTGCCACATCCACAGGGATTTAAATCCCTCCAGGGATGGGGATTCCACCACTGTCCTGGGCAGCTGTGCCAGGCCTGGAGAGCCTTTTTGGGGAAGGAATTTTCCCCATATCCAACCAGAACTCCCCTGGCCCAGCTTGGGGTTGTTTCCCTTGTCCTGCCCCTGTTCCCTGGCAGCTCCTGTCCCTCTCAGGGCCTCTCCCAGCTGCTGTCCCCAATCCTTGGGGTGCCCCAAGTTCAGGACCCAGCACTTGGCAGTGCCCAGGCAGGAATGTGCAGCCCATGGAGGAAGGAGTGGAGGGAGCTGCCAGAGGAGCAGCAGAGATTTGGGGAGGGAAGGAGGAAGCAGCCAGTCCTGAGCAGAGGAAGAGCCTTCAGTTTGCAGAAGTAAACCCTGCTTGGTTCCTCCCTGACATTTCCCCAAAGTCCTCGTGGAGAGAGCAGAGGAACCACCAAGGCTTTGGTGTGCATGTGACCCCTGGGCTCTGCTGTTCTGCTTTCAGGAGCTGTGGCAAACACTCCCCTGCCTGTGTTCCAAATCCCACTCTCCTCATCACACCATTCCTTAGGAACAAATCCCCTGGGAGGGTGGGCAGGCCCTGGCACAGGGTGCCCAGAGCAGCTGTGGCTGCCCCTGGATCCCTGGCAGTGCCCAGGCCAGGCTGGATTTGGTTTGGAGCAGCCTGGGACAGTGGGAGCTGTCCCTGCCATGCCAGGGGTGGATTGGGATGTGTTTAAGGTCCCTTCCAACTAAACCCATTCCATGACTCCATGATGATTCTGTTTCTTTTTGCTGCAGTTGGTGCTGGAGGGGTTTGTGGAGGGAAAGGAGCAGGGAGCCAGGCTTGGTTTAAACGTGGGGCTGGATCAAATCCTTGGGGATTCCTTTTGGATAGAGTTAGTCTTTGTCCAGGTGAGCCCAAAGGTGGGCAGGGTGGGACTGCTCTCCTTGGGATCCTCCTCAGGAGAGCTCCCCAGCCTGGCCTGTATCCCACAGGATCCAGGGCAGGTCCTCCACCCTGAGGATGAAAGATTTATGGGAACAAGGCTGATTTCACTCCTTGCCAGTGGATAATTTCCCTGCAAACTTTGGCAGAAGCTACCTCAGATCAGCTTTGAACTCAGCAAAGCCAAACCCTCAGCGTGTTTTGGTTCCAGATCCCTCTGGTGAAGCAATTAATGAATCTGGTTTGTCTTTCCCCCCCCGTCAGGAAGGAAAGAATTAGGAGCCCTCCTCGTGAGATAGGTCAGGATGAATCCTCACTATCCAAAAGCCCCATCGAGGATCTGGAGGAGGAAGAGGAAGAGGAAGAAGAAAAGGAAGAGGAAGGAGGAGGTTACCAGGAGGGTGATGAAGAGTCCTCAACCCCATCTTCAGAGGATTCCCAGAACCTCAAGTAGGTTTTCCCTGGGAGGGAGTAAATCCCATTTTCTAGAGGGTGCTTTACAATGGATTGTGTTCCCTGAGTGCAGCTCCAAGGCAAAGGGGAGAGAGATTTGGATATTCAGGAATACAGGACAGGAGGGTTGGTGGGAGCCCTCTGAGCTCCAAGTGATGGTGGTGGGGGTCACTCTGTGCTTCCAGCTCTGCCCTGACCATGTGCTCTTGAATATTTAAAAACCTCAATTAATTTAATTTATTTAATTTTAATTTAATTTTATTATATTCATTTAGTTCTTTAATCTCGGAAAACTGCAGCATCCCTTTGGTGAGTGGGAAAACTGCAGGGAGACCTCACATGCAGCCAGAAATCCCCACAGTCATGGAAATGGAGCTAAAGAATCATGGAATTCCAGGCTGGCTTGGGTTGGAAGGGAATTTAGGGATTATCCCATTCTACGCCCTGCCATGGCAGGGACACCTCCCACTGTCCCAGGCTGCTCCCAGCCCTGTCCAGCCTGGCCTTGGGCACTGCCAGGGATCCAGGGGCAGCCACAGCTGCTCTGGGAATTCCATCCCAGCCAGGAATTCCCAATTCCCAATATCCCATCCATCCCTGCCCTCTGGCAGTGGGAGCCATTCCCTGGCTCCTGTCCCTCCATCCTTGTCCCCAGTCCCTCTCCAGCTCTCCTGGAGCCCCTTCAGGCCCTGCCAGGGGCTCTGAGCTCTCCCTGGAGCTTCTCCTCTCCAGGAGAACATTCCCAGCTCTCCCAGCCTGGCTCCAGCCCTGCAGCAGCTCCAGGTCCTTGTGCTGCTGGATCTGGGGCAGCTCTGCAGTGGGGTCTCACCTGAGGGACAGAATTCCCATTTCCTGGTTTCTGGGTTGCAGCAGAGCAGTGAGGCTGGTGCAGAATTCCCTCCTGGAGCTCCTCACCGCGTTTCCATCCCCTCTGTGCCCTCCACACGGGATTTGTGTCCCTCTGTGTCCCCAGGGCTGGCAGGACAGGCTGCTGCAGCTGCAGGAGGCCCATCCCAGAGCACTTCCAGCAGCTGGGAGCTGGAGCTGTGGCACTGTGCCCAGGGGCTGTTGTTTACAGCCCGTGCCAGCTCACACAGCCCTGCAGGAGCTGGAAAATGCCCTTAAGAGGTCACTCAGGGAAGGCAGGAGTGGAGTTTGGAGTGAGGAATGTGGAGCCCTCTGGGCACCTGCCTTGGAACAAGATGAGCTTTAAGGTCTCCTCCAACCCAAATTATTCCATGATTTTCTGTTTTTATCTTCTGCTCCCAAACCCACCCTGCTCTCCAGGAATATCACCAGCACACAGCAGCAGCTGTGGACTGTGACATTCTCCTTTTTTTTGCCTGGGGTGGCTCACACTGGAACCACACCAGGTGTTCACTGGCACATGCTGGCATCAAAGCCATTTCACAGAAAAGTCAGGAACAACGTTTGGAATTCTGACTTGGAAAACAGGCAGGATTTGCAAGGCATGGCAGCAGTGCTGTGGAGCTGGCCAGTGCTTGGAGCTGTGGGGTTTGGCTCCAGAGGGAGCTGATCCTGCTGGGAATGCAGCACGGGCAGAGCACAGGCATTTGTTTAACAATAGGGAGGAACAATATCCATTATTTTGGTGAAAATTCAAGCCATGAAAGGCTGGCTTTCCAGGGAATACTCAGTTCTGAGGCATCTCCTGAGGAATATTGTGTCTGTGTGAAGAGCTTTGTTCTGGGAGCTGCCTGGGGGACAGTGGGTGTTGGGTGGGCATGGGAACAGTGCCAGGGACCCCAAAGGATCCCAATGAAATCCCATCAAACCTCAGCTCTGACTATTCCCAAGGACTGGGGGGGCCACACCTCAAATCCTGAGCTGAGTTCTGGGCCCCTCACCACACTGAGGGGCTGGAGCATGTCCAGGGAATGGAACTGGGGAGGGTCTGGAGTCCCAGGAGGGGCTGAGAGGGATGGAAAGGGGCTGAGCCTGGAGAAAAGGAGGCTCAGGGGGGACCTTGTGGCTCTGCACAACTCCTGCCAGGAGGGGACAGCCAGGGGGGTCAGGCTGTGCTCCAGGGAACAGGGACAGGAGGAGAGGGAACGGCCTCAGGCTGGGCCAGGGGAGCTCAGGGTGGAAATTGGGAATGTTCCTCCTGGAAGGGGCTGTCCAGATGTGGCCCAGCTGCCCAGGACAGTGCTGGTTCCTCATCCCTGGAGGGATGTGACATCCATATGGATGTGGCACTTGGGGACACGGTCAGGGGTGGCCTTGGCAGTGCTGGGGGATGCTTGGACTCAGTCTTGGAGAGGTTTTCCAGCCTGAATCATTCAGTGCACGCTGCAGGGCAGGACAGAGTGAGCTCCTGTGTCTGTGTCTGCTTTCAGGCCCTCTCTGTCCAAGGAAAAGGCGTTTGAGGTGTTTAAGAAGGAGGCTGGACAGGAGATCCACCGGATCTTCAGGGAGAACAAGAGGATCCTCATTGCCAGGAAGAAGGGAATCCACTCTGTGGCATGGAAGATCAATGGCCTCAAGGAGCAGATTGAGGCAATCAAGGAAGCTCTGGAGGCTCAGAAGAGGAAGAGGAGGCAGGGGGGTGAGGAGGCAGCACGGGACAGGGATGGAGCTCTGGGCTTGGAGCTCTCATCCAGATCTCATCCTTGATTTGATTTAATTTAATAGAGGTGGTGGTTAAGGAATTGCTCTGGGATAGGGTTTGCCTCTGGATTCCCAATATTTCCTCTGTCCCGATGTGATTTCCAGGTTCCAGAGCAGTTTTGGGTGGTCACAGAATTCCAGAACACTTTTGGTTGGAAGGGATGTTAAGGATCATCCCACTCCACCCCTGCCATGGACAGGGACACCTTCCACTATCCCAAAATCAAATCCAGCCTGGCCTGGGGCACTGCCAGGGATCCAGGAGCAGCCACAGCTTCCCTGGGCACCCTGTGCCTCCCAACCCTCCCAGCCAGGAATTCCTTCCCAATATCCCATCCAAGCAATCCCAGGGATTTTCCCCCTGGGAGCCAAGTCAGACCCTCCATCAGGTGTGACACCTGCAGAGCCCTGTCCCTGCTCTCCACCCTCACCAGAAGCTTCCCTTCCTTTTCTCCCTCTGCAGGAGAATACACGGATGAGAAAGGACGGGTGATCATCGATGAGAAGGAGTTCTCCCTCATCGTGAAGCTGAAGGAGCTGAAGGAGGAGCACAGGGCTGGCTTTGCTGAGCTGCAGGACCTGAAGGCAGAGGTCCAGTACTGCCAGCACCTCGTGGATAAGTGCAGGAAAAAGCTCATCTCAGGTACAGGGCACCAGGGCTCAGCAGGGATAAACTCAGACTGGAGCACTCCCAAACATCATGGGATCCCAGAATGGTTTGGGTTGGAAGGGACCTTGAAGCTTATCCAGTTCCAGTCCCTTCCCACTGTCCCAGACTGCTCCAAGCCCTGTCCAGCCTGGCCTTGGGCACTGCCAGGGATCCAGGGGCAGCCACAGCTGCTCTGGGCACTCTGTGCCAGCCTCTCCCCACCCTCTCAGACAGGAATTCCTTCCCAATCTGCCATCCATCCCTGCCCTGTGGCAGTGGGAGCCATTCTGTGTCCTGTCCCTCCAGCCCCTTGCCAAATTACCATTCTCTGTTGTCCTTTGTCCTGTTGCCTTCCAGACTGGATTTTATCCATAATCAGGTGGGGTTTTCTGACCTAACCCTGAATTACTGCAGATAATGTCCCTCTACTCCTTGGTCCCACCCCTACATGGGGGAAAAAGCCTCCCACAAGGAATCTTACACTGATCTCATCCTTGATTTTATTTAATAGAGATAGTGGTTAAGGAATTGCCCTGGGACAGGGCTCTGCCTCTGGATTCCCATTATTTCCTCTGTCCCTGTGTGATTTCCAGCTTCCAGAGCTGCAGCCTTATCAGGAAAAGGAGCTTGGCCACAGCTCTGCCTGGGAAATCCCTGCAAATTCCACTTTGAAATCTGTAGGTTCAAACTGCCCCTGCTGAATCCCTGGATTTGCCCCTCTAAGGGAAGCCAGTCCCTGTAGGAATTGCAGAGCCCCAAACATTTTGGATGCTGTGCACATGGCAACATTTGCCAGGGGACAGCTTGGATCCATCAGAGCATCCCACGCAGGAAGAAATGGGATAATCATTCCCATCATTCCAGGGATAAACAGGACCCAATCACAACTGTGCCACTGCTTCCTGTTGGATCTGGGTTGGGCATTTTTGGGTGCTCCAGATGTTTGCTGTTTGTTCAAACATCCAGGACTCACCCAGATCAGGAGTGGAGTGCCTGGGAAATGCCCAGGATTAATAAGGACATAATTCCCACCTGCTGTGTGTTCTCACTGCCTATTATGGGATGGCAAATGGCTGTGCTGGAGTGTGTGGGATTGAAATGTGAGCCCCAGCCGTGCTGCCCATTCCAAAGGGATTCTGGGGGCTGCAGGAGTGGTGCCTTCTCATGGCCAGGGGACTGTCCCCAGAGCTGGCCACCACCTCCTGGCCACCTCAGCACAGCCAACAGCCTCCTTAAATTCACTTTTCCCATCATTCAAACTCCAAATCCTGGAGTTCTGAGCTTCCTGTCTGAGGGTTTAAGAGCACTGAGATCCTGCCTGATCCATAGGAACAAGCAATCCGTGCTGTCTTTTAGGTCGTTAATTAATGACAGCCATTAATTGCCCCTCTTTGCTTTGCAGAGTTTGAAATCTGGTACATCGAAAACTTCCGTCTCCCTAAAGACGTGAAGGAAGCTCTGGAGCCTGGTGGGAACATCAGACCTGGAATGATTCCCGTGAACAGGGTCATGTGCCTGGTGAGTTATCCCAGAGTTCTGCTGATTCTCCTCAGGAGCAACAGTGGGGTGCTGAGGGAATGAGGGAGCCTGTGGAAAGAGGAGGAGAAAAAGGAGGAGAAGGAACGAGGCACAAAGGGAATATCTGGAGCCATATCCTGCTGTCACATTCCCTTCACAGTTTAGGGACTAAATCAGGGCAGTGACTGAGGCACCTGGCATCTGTGGAACAACAGGAACTGGGCAAAGTGCCTGGGGGTGCAGGGGTGTTTGGATTCCCAGCCTGTGGGATCTCAGGTTTGCAGCAAACTCTTGTGGCACTGGTCAGCACCAGCCCTGTGGCAGGAGCCATGTGGGGACCTGGGTCTTTTCTCATCCTGAAAAGCACTTTTCTGTCCAACTCCCCATGCATCTAAAAAGTGCGACCAGAAAGGGGAATTCTGCACCTGAGTGTGACCAGAAGGGGGAATTCTGCACCTCAGGTGAGACCCCACCTGCAGAGCTGCCCCAGATCCAACAGCACAAGGACCTGAAGCTGCTGCAGGGCTGGAGCAAGGCTGGGAATGTTCATTTTTCCTGTGGGAAAATCCCAACCCTCACAGGTTTTTGCTCAAAGCCCTGCCCAAAGCTGCTCCTCCAAGGTGTGGAAAGGGGAACCTCTCACTTCCAGGGTTTTCCTGGCTGAGTTGGTGTTTGGTGCCACAAAAGGGATGGCTGTCCCAGGTGTGCAGGTGTGTGTTTTGCACATGGGATGCTTTTCCCTGGCAGGATGAAGACGTGCAGGACAAGTTTGAGCGGGTGCAGGAGACGGCGCTGCCAGACTGCCCGAGCTCCGTGTCCTTCTACAGGGCCAGGATGAAGACAGATCAAAAGGTAACCCCAGGGAGAATCCCAGAATGGACTGGGATGGAAGGGACCTTCAGGATCATCCAGTCCCAGCCCCTGCCATGGGCACAGACACCTTCCACTATCCCAGGGTGCTCCAAGCCCTGTCCAACCTGAATTCACCCAGAGAGAGCTGGGAATGTTCACCTGGAGAAGGCTCCAGAGACCTCAGAGCCCTTCCAGGCCCTAAAAAGCTGGAGAGGGACAAGGGATGGAGGGGCAGGACACAGGGAATGGCTGCCACTGCCAGAGGGCAGGGATGGATGGGATATTGGGAAGGAATTCCTGGCTGGGAGGGTGGAGAGAGACTGGAGAGAAATTCCCAGAGCAGCTGTGGCTGCCCCTGGATCCCTGGAAGTGTCCAAGGCCAGGCTGGATGGAGCTTGGAGCCTGGAATAGTGGAAGGTGTCTCTGTCTCACCTTATTGAGATAAGCCTTAAGGTCCTTTTCAACTGAAATAATTCTGGGATTCCACGAAAACCTCTCAAACATCTTTTCAGTGCTCTGGAGAATTTCCTAGGGATTCCTGTCCTCCCCTTGGAGCCTGCTGGGATCTGCTCTCAGCAGAGCAGTGCTGCTGTGATGGGGATTCTCCCAGCTCTTCCCAGCACCGCCTGGAATGTCTGAGAAGGCATTTGGTTTTATTTTTCAGGAAAAAAAGTTTTTACAGGTGAGAACTGTGCTCTGAGAGCCGAGCTGAGCTCAGTGATCCCTTTGTGTTCCCTGTTCCCAGCAAACCTTCAACACCACCACGGCAGCGCTCCGGAAAATGCACAGGAAACCCGGACTGGTCCCGGCTGCTGAGAAGAAGAAAGCCCTGTCCTTCCTGCCCATCACATAGCCTGGATCCCAGCATTCCCCAAGGAATGCCACCTCAGGAAGCGCCTCCTGATCGTGTCCACCATTGATTTATAAAAATAAACAGCAGGAAAAGTGAACCACCCAACCTTTGGGCAGGCAGGGAGTTACTGGGAATCGATGGCACTGTTTGGACAGGACACGAGCCAGGCACTTCCAACAGCACCTCTTGTTTTCCTGAGCCTCTGGAAAAGGCAGGATCACAGCACAGAGGTTGCTGTGGGTAACCCAGGCTGCTCCTGATGCCCTCTTTGCTGGTGCTGGAGCTGGAGCTCTCCTGGGCTTGTTCCCATTGGAGCAACAAGTCATGGCTTGGCCTGTTGGATCTGCCTGGAGAGGGGAATGAAACAAAGATTCATTTCTGGGGAGTCATGGAATGGTTTTGGTTGGAAAAGCCCTCCAAGATCAAGTCCCACCATTCCTCAGCACTGCCAAAACCAACCCTGACCATGTCCCCAAGTGCCACATCCACAGGGTTTTTAAATCCCTCCAGGGATGGGGACTGCACCTCTGCCCCGGGCAGCTGGGCCAGGCTGGAGAGCCCTTTCCAGGAGGAACATTCCCAATATCCACCTGAGCCTGCCCTTGAGGCCCTTCCCTCTTGTCCTGTGCCCTGAGAGCAGAGCCCAACCCCTCCTGGCTCCAACCTCCTTCCAGGGAACTGCAGGAGCCAGAAGGTGCCCCCTGAGCCTCCTCTTCTCCAGGATGAGCCCCTCCAGCCCCTCAGAAGGATTTGGGATCTGGATGGAGAATGCTGAAAGGCCCAAAGTCAACACCCCCCAGCTGTCAGGAACATCCCGCTGCCAAAACCAGCGCCAGCCATGGCAGGAGCATCCCGAATCCAGGCACCCCAGATCTTCCCCAGGTCACCCCCAGTTCCATGGAGAACTGGGAAAGGGAATGGATCCACGGTGCTCAGTTTGTTTGAATTTGTTGGAGCTTCCTTCTGTCCCCATAACAGCACCTGGCCCCTGGAAGGGCATTGGAGAACATCCCAGAAATCACCTTTTCCTTGTCATGATCCAATTCCAGAGGTTCCAAAAGCTGCTGGGAATTCAGGCCAGGCTGGATTTCCCAGGAAAACATTTCCACATGACTGGAACTAAACCCTCCTTTGTCCTTCCCTATATCCACCCCTCCTCTGCTTCCCACCTCATCCCTGTGGGTCCCTCCTGCCCACACCATGCTCCCAAATCTGGGGAAATCCCAGAAATCTCAATATTGGACGCTGTAAATGTGGTTTGGAGGATTCCATGTGAACAGGCATCCCAGAGCAGCTGGGTCTCCTGAAGTGCTCTGGCGCCATTCCATGGAGGAGCTCTCCTAGGGATTGGGAAGATGGGAAATGACCTGTGAAAGGAAAAAAAAAAAAGTTTTAGTGATTTTTAGGGCAAATGGGGCTGGGAACAGCCCCAGGGATCTGGTGCCAAGGGGTGCTGGTGTCCAGGTGTGATCCTGGGGGTGCTGCTGATCCTGGTGTGGTCCTGGGGAGATCTCCATGATCCTGGGGATGATCCCAGTGAGATGCTGAGAGATCCTGGGAAGATCCTGCCTGTCCCATGAGTGATCCAGGTGTAGCCCTGGTGATCCTGCCAGTCCTGCAGCTCATCCAGGTGTGGCCCTGGTGATCTCCCATCTGCTCCTGATGAGATCCTGAGGATCCCAGGGGTGATCCCACGGACATCCCGCAGCCAGTCCTGGTGTGGCCCCAGGTGTGGCCCTGGTGATCTCCCATCTGCTCCTGATGAGATCCTGAGGATCCCAGGGGTGATCCCACGGACATCCCGCAGCCAGTCCTGGTGTGGCCCCAGGGGAATCCTGCTGAGATCCCCCAGGTGTGGCCCTGGTGATCTCCCATCTGCTCCTGATGAGATCCTGAGGATCCCAGGGGTGATCCCACGGACATCCCGCAGCCAGTCCTGGTGTGGCCCCAGGGGAATCCTGCTGAGATCCCGGGAATGGCATGGCAGAACCTGGTGTGGCCCTGGTGATCCCAGAGGTGCTGCAGTCCTGACCTGGAGAAGATCCTGGAGGTGCAGTGCTGACCTGGGGGAGATCCTGGTGATGCAGTGCTGACCTGGGGGAGATCCTAGAGGTGCAGGGCTGACCTGGAGGAGATCCTGGAGGTGCAGGGCTGACCTGGAGTTGATCCTGGTGATGCAGTGCTGACCTGGAGGAGATCCTGGAGGTGCAGTGCTGACCTGGAGGAGATCCTGGGGATGCAGTGCTGACCTGCAGGAGATCCTGGTGATGCAGTCCTGACCTGAGGGAGATCCTGGAGGTGCAGTCCTGACCTGGGGGAGATCCTGGGGATGCAGGGCTGACCTGGAGTTGATCCTGGAGGTGCAGGGCTGACCTGGGGGAGATCCTGGAGGTGCAGTGCTGACCTGGAGGAGATCCTGGTGATGCAGGGCTGACGTGGGGGAGATCCTGGAGGTGCAGAGCTGACCTGGAGGAGATCCTGGAGGTGCAGAGCTGACCTGGAGTTGATCCTGGAGGGGCAGGGCTGACCTGGAGGTGCAGAGCTGACCTGGAGGAGATCCTGGAGGTGCAGAGCTGACCTGGAGTTGATCCTGGAGGTGCAGGGCTGACCTGGAGGTGCAGAGCTGACCTGGAGGAGATCCTGGAGGTGTGGGGCCAACCTGGAGTTGATCCTGGAGGTGCAGTCCTGACCTGGGGGAGATCCCGGCAGTCCCGCAGCTGATCCCGGTGTGCCCCGCTGACCCCTTCCTGGATCCCGGTGGGATCCCAGTGACACCCAGGCTGATTCTGGGGGGGCCCCGCCGGACCATGTGAGGAGCCCCGACGGGGCGAGCGGGGCCTCCCCGGCCAGGGGGCACTTGCGGAGCCCCGCGCCCGCCCACCCACCATGGGGGATTTCTACGACCCGGAGCACCCCACGCCGGAGTAAGCGCGGGCCCTCCGCGGCCTCGGGCCCGCCGGCACCGCGCGACCGCCGGCAGCCGGGCCGCTGCCCCTTCCCCTTCCCGATCCCCTTCCCATTCCCGTTCTTTTGCCCCTGCCCTTTCCCTGTCCCGCCGCGCTTCCCCTTCCCGCCGTCCTCCCGCCGGTCCGGGGTAGGCCGCGCATCCCCGGCCTTGCGTGATGGCCGCGGCCGGGGCGGGCGCGGGGAGGGCGGGCAGGGAGCGCGGGGAGGGCGGAGAGCGGGCGGCGGGAGCGGCGGGAGCGGGCGGGCCGGGGGTGGGGGGTCGGTCCGCG